AACCCGAAACCCTAAACCCATAGGGCTTGACTGTTGCGCAAGTCTCGCGTCTGAAGATGTCCGGAACCAGAAAAAACACTGGAATCTGAGAGCCAGCATAGTGTACAAGATGATGCTCACGTTTTTCCACATTCCGTTGCCAACATGGGCACAAACGATCAGCTATCCTAACGACCTATATAACGCATAAAACCTGAGACCTAAACTCGACAAGAGTGTTTTCAAGCAATCTTCTGCTTCCATGGGCCCCTTACGCGAGACAGTGACTGGGAGATGCCCTAAACCCTAAACCCCTTTAGGTTATACACTTGGGCTTCCCTAAACCCTAAACCCTAAACCGTAAACCCTGAACCCTAAACCCTAAACCGAACCCCTTGTTGTGGCCTCGCGCTATGGGTTCCTGTTCTTTTTCTCTGAACACCAGAAGCCACAGAGCTGTCTCTCCCGTTGTGGCCGTGTGGTCCGAGACGAAAACACCCAAGTACCAAGTACGGTAAGGGTACATCGCACATCGTATTCTATAGTCTCCACTTGATTTTTTCAATTCTTTCTCATGCATATATATATATATATATATGATATAGCTATAGGAGCGCTAAGCAGCTGCAGAAGCCCAAACGCGGAGAAGCGTGAGCCGAAACCGCCCCATTTCCTCAAGAGCTGTCAGTCGAGCGGTTTTTAAACCTAAGCCCTAAACCCTAAACCCTAAACCCTTGGATATGTGGTGTCTGAGGCTCCTGCAGCGGAAGGTCCAACGGCAGGTGGTCCACGACCGAGCATGGCCGTCAGGGCAATGCAGGGTTTAGGGTTTAGGGTTTAGGGTTTAGGGACTACGCAGACTCGGCTGGATTCGAAATGGTTGTAGGAAAGACAAAGCCGTCTGCTTTTACTTGCCTTGCTGACTGCACCTGCAACACAAGGTGCAAGCCTTGCTCCGGTGGATGCGGTGCAGGCAAGTACAAAGCTGTGGGTTTTCATTCATGTGGGTGGTTGTCAAAATTATGGTCCCTTTTTGGGTCCTTATTATAATACGGCGCCTATCATTTAGGGTACCCCAAAAGGGACCATATTTTTGACAACTACCCATGTTGATGCTTTGGCATGAAGATCCCAAGCTCCCATCCATACGCACCATACACAAGGAGCCAACCAGTCAGATGCAGATGAGCATGGGCAGCTCACTCAGATCGATCCCCAGCTTGTGACTGGGGAGAGCAGCAGACAGAATGAATTCAGCCCTAGGATCGGCACAGCCGGAGAGCAAAGACGGCCCAAATCCCAGTGCTGAAGACGACGTGGTCTGTCATCATCTATCATCCCAAGCCAACCCAGACTCAGAATGGGCATCTTTCGACTTGCCGGCGCAGCCCGA